CGAAAGGGGACATCAGCGGTTTGCGAAATCTTTCGAATTAACCTTCCCTTGATATTCTTTCTGCCCTCCTGGTCGAAGGATTAACAAAAACATGCAAATTTATATTAAGACGGAATTTTCCATTTTCGATGCGTTTTTATTAAAAGTTAGCCATCGGAAATTATAGTCACGGTCTGAGTATCGTGGCGAACCAGCAGACCCTAAAGCAATAATAGCAAGCCAAAACAACGCCGCACATGTAACAATAAAGATAACACTCGCCTCCCCTCTTACCACGTTATTTATTGCTCAAAAAATCTAATGCCATCTTACATTTTCATCCTTTGTGTTTGAAAGATGAATGAACCCATATTTTAGCTCCCTTTTAAGAAGGCATACAGCTTCTTATGCCGATCTAACTTATTAATCGGGGTTTTAGTTTATTTTGTCAAAGTTCATTGGCTTTATTTAATTATGAGCCCTTAATGGATGGTTCGAAAAGTGTATCGAATATTTTAAAGCTTTACGCGCTTTTAAGATCCGACGTTGTTGACTTCCGGAATTCTTTCGGTGTGGAAAGCATCGAAATTTATCTCGGGGGGAGGAAAACTCGACACTCTAATAACCTGGTTATCACTCATCACGAAAATTGTTTTTGTTTTCCTTCATCTCCCTCATCCCGTTTTCCCGCTTCTTTGCGCCGTTGTACGCTCGGTCTTAATATTCACCGTTCATACAAATTCTGTTACAATATCACTCGGTATTGGCTACGATATTTCCTAATAAAGCTTCCTTTGAAGTTCGGGAAGCAATACGTAAAGCGGTGGGGCATAAAGGCTCGTACAAATTTTAAATTGGCACGAGTCGTGTAATTTGTTTTACGTATTTACGTGGTTCGTCAATACAACCGCCTATTTGTTAGTTCGGGTATCTATTGGGAACCTAAGATAATATTGACACAATTCCTGCCCGAGGTCTCCAAACTAAAAACGCACAATGCTCCGAATTGTCGTTTATTTCTATCTACTAAAACAATTTTAAAGCGATTTAACATAACAATTTTATTTTTTCCCCTATTTTTCAACGCCAAACGTCGATACTTCGATTGTATTCGTTTCTACTCAAAATCCGTATGATTCCCACAAATTGCCATCTATCCGCAAAATCTTTTCTTTCAATAGAAATAATAACCTATCAAAATCGATGAACACAATCAAATCAACTAAAAATGTTATAACTACAAACTTTTTATTAAAAAAAGTATTTTTTTTTTAATTAAATATACTATTAAAGATTATTTATGCCGAGTGCCTTAAATCCCAGGTAAACACAATTAACTTTGCCAATATCTATACCAAGTTTAATCTTGATTGAACAAATGTATTAATTTTTTTGAAAAAATTTATAACAGCCACTTTGTTTGTTATAAAATCCTTGTGTGAAATTTTATTTTTGTAACTATTGATTTAGGGGATGATTTTCTTCGTGTTTTATTTTAATCCTCAATTTTTGAAATATTTACAGCTACTCGGCTAATAATCGGCGATCTTGTTTCCTATACTTGTTACTATCTCTATGCGACGTTTGGTTTTTACAACCCTCTCAATTTTTTTCAATTACTTTATAATAATAATAATAATAATAATTCACTTTATTGCCCAACAAAGATCAATTACAGGACAATATTACAAGAAAAAGAAAATAAGAAATAACACATGCCATAAAACAAATATAATTCCCATAAACACTCTTACACTATTATTGATTGTTAGTTAGTTTACACATCCTCTGCACCGGGGAGTTGGCTAAAACATTGGATCTGCAATTCCTCAAATAAAACTGATTTCACCTTGCACTAACTTCTGCAAAAACTTGATGCACTGGTCATCTCTTCTTACGTCTAGTACAGAAAAATGGTGACGCCGCAGCAGGGATGCGTAATCCATTCCACGATCCGGGTATGATCCGTCCAGGCGTAGAGACAAATATTTGAGAAATCTCCTCTAAATTCTCTCCAATATAAGTCTATGACACACATAATGTGGCGACCAAATTACAGAGCCATATTCCAATTTGGACAATACAAAGGTCGAAAATAGGGTCTTGTACACACCGATATCAGAAAAAGCACGCGAGGTGCGCAAAACGAAACCAAGCATCCTCGCTGCAGTAGATGCAATATTTTCGATGTGAGGTACAAAAGACAATTTGCGGTCAAAAGTTACTCCCAGATCCTTGATTGTAGATAATTTCTCAAGAAGAACACCTTCTATATAATAAGAAGATGGAAGAGGAGACAGCTTGCGTGTAAAACTAACTGCACCGCACTTATTGGCATTAATCTTTAGCTGATAACGGTTACACCATTCCACCAAGACGTCCAAATCCGACTGAAGACTGACAACATCACGGTCCGCAAAAATAGGTCGGAATAGTTTCAGATCATCCGCATAAGCTAGTACGCTTGATGAAAATTTATCTAGAAGGTCATTCAAGAAGATAACAAATAGTAGGGGGCCTAGATTTGAGCCCTGAGGAACACCAGACCTAGCCGTAAACTCCATAGACGCATAACCGTTGTAGTACACATAATTTATACGACCCGATAGGTAAGAGGCAAATAGTTTCATAAACTTAGGAGATAAGCCAAAAGCACTAAGTTTATACAAGAGGACGTCATGATGAATCATGTCGAATGCTTTAGAAAAATCAGTGTATACCACATCTACCTGACCGCCCCTATCCAAAGATTCACAAATTACCTCAGTAACCACCGCGAGGTTGGTAATGGTCGAACGACGCTTGATAAACCCATGCTGATATGGTGACACAAATGACTGAACCTGTGGATAAATCATCCTGTAAATAATCTGTTCAAATACCTTAGCGAAATTGGACAATAACGATATTGGTCGATAATCAGTAATGTTGATACGTTCGCCATGCTTGAATACAGGAACAATGCGTGAGCGCTTCCAAAGTTTAGGAAACGAGCAAGTGCTTAAGGATAGGTTAATTATTAAATGAAGCGGAACTGCAAAAACTGTATCACCAGCTGTATAATCACCAGCAGTAAATTTATTAGGTAACCTTTTTAGGAAATGAAGAACCTCTTCTTCGGTGACATCGGCAACAAATACTGGAGGATACGTAGAGTGTACATCAACCATGTTATAAGCAGAGACACCAGAATATACTCCAGAGAATTGATCTGCAAAAGCATTAACTATTTTTTCAGGATCAGTGTAGGTGGACTTATCACGCATCATTTTTCCAGGAAGTCGAGAGGTCGTTGTTTTCTGTCTTATATAATTCCAAAAGTTACGGGGATCAGAACTAAGCGATTGTTCAGCACTAATAGTAAAGGAAGTATACGCATCAGAGATTTTCTGTTTAGTCAAACATCTCAGTCTTTTATATTCCGCTGAATAGAAAGCACTATTGCTTCTCCTCCACTTCCTCCTATAATACTCTTTCAACTTTAATAGCCGCTTAATTTCTGGGGTGTACCAAATAGGGTATGAGGATCCCCGACTCAATCTCTTAGGAACAAATAAATCCAAAATCTCATACAACTTTTTATAAAAAGCTCGCAAAGCATCATCCGCATTAACCTCCACACTTAGAAAAGACCAATCCGTGTAAAGTAGTTTATCATACATGCCAGGAAAGTTGGCTCTTCGAAAATTATATCGACCACCCAAAGATCATCATTTGCCGTCAGTAAATTCATGTTATTCATTATGTTAAAAAACGTCAATTTTGGAGCATTTTAATTAGCTGCTCCAATCTCACAATTCATCACTGAAATTTAAATCAAGCGATCTTGTTTCTCGTTCATTTTCCCACCCGTATGCGAAATTTGATTTTTGGAACTCATGATTTACTGGTGTTTATTATTAATTTTGTTGTATTGAAAAAAGGTTGTTTAATTAAATCTTGTTATAGTGAAAAGCTAAGGATATTTGGGATATAGTATATATTTGACCACGACGTTGAGTAGCTTCTAATAACAGTAATGTCTATAAATCAATACCCCTTCAGGTTTGTATTTACTGAAACGTTTACAGAAAATAATATCTGCAATTGTTTGCTTTTTATAGTTTCCAACAAGAATAAAGTAAACGGTATAAATTAAAGTGGGTTATACAACCAAGGTGGTTATGAAGAGACAGAAACTATGTAGTTTCTGAAAGTGGTGGAAGTTTTGAAACTCAAGATACCGGTTGAGTTGGTAAAGATCACGAAGAGGTAAATAGCTGTAGTATCGAGAGCAATAGAGGTAATCAGTCGAATTGGAATGTTGTGTATCGATAAATGGAGGTTGTAAATTGGAATAGGCAGTCGGGAGCATTATTTCGTGATGGGTAGTAAACGAGGGAGAAAAGGTAGGGAATTGTAATAGGGGCGCGTAATTACTGGTAGACGGAATTTACTTAATTACGAAAGTGTATAACGGCATTATGGACTGGCGAAGTTGTACCAATAATTTATGGCGACAACAGTAGCACCTGCTGCAATCGACAATGCCTCACCGATGCCCTTCCGGCGCACTTGTGAGCTGCCGGTTCGCGAAAATTTCGGCCTTGCGCTGTGCGCACTCCCCAAAAATAACGACGAGGGCAAAACGGTGAAGCATGTGTGTATTCCCCGAGCAATAACGTTTAACAAGTGCGACGGCGCGCCGCCTACACTTAACGAACATCAGTAGTATAAGCACATAGCAATTGTAACTCTGGACCGGCACCTGATGGCACACATTGCCCTATCAGGGGCCTCGTGTTCAACCCCTATCCCCGGTTCGCAACCAGCATGGAAATATTGTATTATACGATCCTACGGGCGCACTTCATACCTCCAAAAGCTCTCCGAATTTCCACCGCACCCCAACCACCTTTAACCAGCATTCTTTCCCCCTTAACCTACCTACCCCTTTCATTTCTCTCTCGTATCTTTATCCCCATATACCATCTAACCGCACGTCGATTTCTTGTAACGCTATCTTTTTTCTATTGTTCCAGCAAACTCGTTCAATCCGGATTTCACGTCTGAAATCCAAAACGTAACGGTGCCTGTGTCAAGGGACGCAACGTTTAGGTGCTCCGTGAACCGGCTCGGTGGATACAGGGTAAGAGGAGAGAAACGACGAGAGGGTCGAAGGCTTATACTCACGGGCCGCGACATGACGGTACTAGGGCCGCGGTATCAAGTGGGATAAACCGTGGCCGGCGCGGCGGAGGCCGCCCCTGATAAATTGACTTCATGAGTGCCCCCCAATTCGCTCTACCTGTTGCTGCCTCCCGACCGCCGACCCGATCCGCCCTAAAAACAACATGTTTACTTATGCCGCATCTCTGCACGCGCGCATCCCCTACACCATACCATCCCGATATATATCGTTCCCAACCGACCCTTAACAAATTGCATCATTAGCCCCCATATTTTACTATTATGAACTATCCGATCCGCCCCCTAATCCCCCTCGGCAGGATTTCACCTCGATTTATACCCTTTACACATATTAACGACGCGTTATTTATTGTACCCTTGACATAGCTTCGCTAATTCGTGATTCTGTCGGAACGTCATGGATCTAGTGTTTAGGAAAAAATTTTTTACACTTCTCAAAACGTATAAACATCATTAGTACGTGTTGAAACACGCTCGAAACGATTCCCTACATGAATTTCACAATTTTTTTCACATCTTGTTTGCGATTGTTTCAATAACACGTTTTCAACTTAAAATTGCTGGTACGTATGAATAGAATTTTGCTCAAATTATAATTAATGACTGTCATTCTGTTCGCTATTAATTCAATTTATATAAATTTAAAAGATGTATTGTTAGATATATATTTTGACGTATGTATATTTTGATATTTTGATTTAAACAGTTGTTTTCATGAAATTTCGAGCACGATATGTCGATTAATTATAGAATATATTTACTACGAAAATGCAAACTTGATTTTTATTAATGTCCGTTTTAAATCAACTTTGTTACGTTTTTATTTTAACGATAAATCGTTTTATCATCTAATTGCTGATCAGTTTCACTTCTAACCTTTACACACAACTATTTCATAATACAAAATTAAAATTGCGTGGTTTCAAGTGGGATTTAATTAGTATCTGTAGTTCCGATTGTATTCTTTTCCTATTTTTTTTTTTTACCGAAACAATTAAATTCACCGGGATAAATTAACCGGTGAAGTTTTAATTGTGAGAATTGTTTTCTTTTTTTCGAGCGATAAATCGTTACTAACTCGTGTGGAACTGAAATTTTAATAATCGGTTTATTTAATTATTAGTTTAGTTTTTCTATTATTTTATAACCATCGTTTTTTGCAATACTTTTATATGTGCTGAGATGATCAATGAATAATGCGTTTTTAATTAAAAGCAGATACCAGATTTTGCGAAATTCACACCATTTTTTGCAATATGGTGCGTCATTCCAGACATGTTCTTAATACTTGTAGTCTACCCAAATAATTACAAAGCTTTTCTTAGAGACTTGACATATGTCCAGCACAAATCCAAACATTTTCTTAGAGTCTGGAATCTTTTTAGTGTGATGTATCAGGATTCAGTCAGGTATTTGGGAGTCTGGATAGATTCAGAATTGAGATTGAGGAAGTTTGTGTCCTGCCTGGTCGGGAGGGCGTTTGCCAGTTTAAAGCTGTTATATTCACACAAAGCGGTTTTGAATGTCAAACTTAGAAAATTGTTATGTGAGTCATTTGTACTATCACATTTTAATTACTGTGATGTAGTTTATCATTCGTTTATAGATCAAGTTAGTGCTGGTAGAATTCAGAGAGTGCAGAATAGTTGCTTACGATTTATTTACGGTATTAAACGTCGTCAGCATGTTTCTCATGTGTTAGAGGCCGCCAATTGGCTAAATATGTGGAGGAGAAGGTTTTTACATACCGCTTTGTTTTTTCATGGTGTGGTGACTTGGCGCATGCCTCCTTACCTGTACTGTCGCATAACTTACAGAACTGATATTCACAATCTTGGTACTCGATTCAGGGGTCAGGTCGCAATTCCAAGGCATAGGACTCAACTATTTAAGAAATCATTTTCATACAATATTGCAAAGTATTTCATTGATCTTAATCGTTGCTTTTGCTTTAAGTCGAGATATGAATTTAAAAAGGCCGTCATAAAATATTTGTCTGAGCTGCGGTGAGGGTGGGTTCGTTGGGTGTGGCAATGTTCGATGTGTTTAAACTGGTCAGTTGGTGGTTCTGGTCAAAAGCTGTTTGAGGTATTTAGCTTAATCCATCTATATTGTTATATATCTATAGTTTTTCTTTTTTTTTCCGGGTGCGTGGAGGAGTGGATCGTGACTATGTTACGAGCCAAACGCAGTCCATTTGGTTGCAACCCCGTTCTATTGTAATATATATTGTTTTTGTAATTTTTTTTTTTTTATTTTCTTTCTGATATTATATATGTAAAGTATGTGGGCTGTGCCAATAAATATTATTATTATTATTATTATTATTGTAGAAGTTCTTCTTGCAAACTAGATCTTTCTCAGTGTAATTCCAGACTTTTCTTCCTCTTTGGAGTGTGGTCAATATAATTCCAGATTTTTTCTTGATAACTCAAAACAATCCAAACTTTTTTGCTGAGTGGTATCTGATCGTAGTAAAGCGAGACGCATTTCCATATTTTCATCATCCAGTACAATTTCAAACATTTCTTTTAAGTCTGGAGGCTTTTTAGAATAATTGCAGAAGTTTTTCTTGCAAACCAGACAACACACAATTTTAGGGATACCATTAATTATAGGTGCCCATGTTGTAAACTCTAAATAAATATTGTATTATTATTATTGAACTTTATTTCATAGTATTTATTTAGTTATTATTAATTGTGTTGTTGAATAATTTTGTAACGTGCCCTTTCGAGATACGTAGTGAACAAAACGGCATTTTCTGCAAAATTCCTTCAATAGTAACAAGTGAAACTTGGTTCCAAGCGAGAGCAAAACACAAAAGACAAACTTTGCGCGGAGTCTAACGGCATGTCAAGACGGAATATTTATTGGGCGAAGTAGAAGTTGCACTCATCAGGATTTCTCTGAAAATAATTTCGCGGGCCTTAATTCGATATTAATATCAGATTAACTCCTTCGAGATAAAACTCTATAAGGCGGCATTCTTTTAATCCAAAAGAGTATAATTACGAAAGTAAGCCGTCCCGTTTAGCGGAAGCGGCTTCGGCTAAATAAAAGTAACTACTTCGTTGAGTTTTTGCGACCTCTAGGTTTAAATTGTACGCGGTAAACGGCACCGGGGTAATGAGATTAGGTAAGCGGGATTTGATACGGCGAACAACTATATCGCTTATTCCTCCGTGGCCTGGCAATTCCGAAATTCTCACCTTTGCGAAATTGCTCCCATATTATCATTCTCCAACTGCCCCTCGTAATCCCCGCAATAGTGTCAATAGTCATCCTCGATTGTCCCATCAGTTTCGATTACTCTAGTATGCATGCCAGCAGAAAATTTTCCTCCACAGAAAATTAACGATCATTTCTGTGCGTAGAGAGTTTACACGTTCACTTTGGTAACGTAAACCGTAGGAAATGGGAGCCGGTCTTGTGCCGGTTGAAGGGCCGTCGCGGGCCCTTCTGTCCCACGTTCACTTTGACCCCATACTACACAGCTGTGTGTTATAAATGATCTCAACTTTGTGGGGCCTAGCCTACATTTGTCATATCTACGCTATTATTACATTCGCGGGAGTTTCAGGATGATAGATTCACCATAAACTATATTATATAGTGCCATTGATAATTATTATTAATAACTAATATTTAAAATAGAATTTATTACTAAATTCGTTGCAATCCTACAATGTGTAAAAATGTGGTAATGTTTTCTCTTGTTACGGTTATTCAATTAAAAAAATACATATTTTTTATGTATAACACTAACAAGGTTTTCAGGTTTTATTCGATAACGTTGTATTAATAGGGATTGGTAAAAGATAAAAGGGATGTGGTTTGAAATTAGTCTGTAACTATATGAGTTTCAAAAAGGGAACCTTAAAAAATAAAATAAAATTTCGTAAAACTAGAGTCGAAAGTACATTTGTTTGTTTTTGAATGGTATAAAGACATACGGCTTCCCTTTCAGCCCAAAACATTCAATTATTTTCACCACCGCTCGTTAATTAGAGCGGACATAGTAAATAAAACGGAATAAATCGAAATCGAATCTTTATGAGACGAAGGCGTTTTTAAATGCATAGTGAAAATCCAGCCCGATCATTATTTAGTTTTCCCCTTTGTGGAGGCTTTCCTTTGAAATAATTTAAACACAACAGCATCACTATAACTGACAATCGTTTAAAGTGGGGTTTATGAAATTTAATGTTGCGACATAAAATTTCGCAACTAAATATCGAAGCTAATACGCAATATTGTATGTCAATAACTTGATAACAAAATATTTTAATATGGGAAGCGGGATTTTCATTTTCATTTTGTCAGTGTAGCCAGTGTTAATTATGTATACATTGTTTCAGGTTGGCTGGGTAAAGGCGGACACAAAGGCCATCCAAGCTATCCACGACCACGTGATTACTCATAACCCTCGCGTTTCCGTCACTCACCGCGATCACACCACGTGGAGTTTACACATCAAGAACGTGCAAGAGGAGGATAGAGGGCAGTACATGTGTCAAATTAACACCGATCCGATGAAGAGTCAGGTAAAATTAAATACAGTAACCGAACACGATAATGAAAGGGCTAGAACTTTAGCCCAATCACTTCAGGATTGCAAGACCTCTATCAATTAATGTACCCCCTTACCCTTTTGATGGCTTGTACACCCTGTGCCAAACAACTACCGGTCAAGTTTTGAACTTATATCATCGTCTCACACATCTGCTGCCATGTTCATATACTCCACACGGTTCGGGCTTTGACGGAAGATTTCCAGTTAAATTTCAACCCCGCTGTGGCACCGTTCTAAAGCTTTTAATTGGTTAATATCAAAAGAGATTATTATAAATTTATTTATACGTTTTCATATTAAACTCGAAATAACATTATGTCTTGAAAAATGATATTAATAGTTATAAAATAACGGAAAGTCTACGGTTGTCTATAGAAGAGTGAGAATCCGACACCTGCGAGCTTCATTTTCAATTTATATTGTGATACAGTTTATGAGTGTTCCAGTTAGCGAAGATGGCAGTGGGAAAAGGGAATTCCGAACAAAAGTGCTTAACAATTTTTGCCGAAGTTCGAATCCTACGTGACGCTGCTCGCAAAATCCTATTAGTCCGATAAAAATAGATCGTACTCAACGTAACCGTGAACGCGTACAGCCGCGCGGTTTTTTACTCAAAGGTTGGTAGCCCATGAGGGTTTTTCCCCTAGTCGAGCCTGTGAGCATATTATTTCACCGCATCCGCAAATCTGCCCTCGAATCGGATTACCGAACTGCAATTGCGGCTTTGCGAAAAAACAGGCATAACAGGACGCGAAACGGAATTGAATAAAACGTACTTCTCATTAATATCCCCGATGCTGTAAACGTTTACCAATTGTTGTAGACCGCCACACTTGACGTCACTGTACCACCGGACTTCATATTCGAGGAGACATCTGGTGATGTTGACGTACCGGAAGGGGGGACAGTCAAACTAACTTGCAAAGCTAAAGGTCAGCCAGAACCTACTATTGTATGGAGAAGAGAGAGTGGAGAAGACATCGTCTTTAGAGATCACGGTGGCGGTTTGCTTAAAAGTAAGTATTTTTTTAGAAGTATTCGGTTTCGATTAATATCGTGGAAATCGAAATATTGATAGGAAGAGTAGGTGTCATTATTAACAACTAGATGTTTGGATTGGATCGAAAGGCGACGAGTTTTTTTTTTGGGTGAGTAACAATAGCGTTATTGTGTCCCTAAGTATATTGCTTTCTGGAGATCAATGAGGCCCTCGATGCCCTCAGGAGATCGAGCGATAGCAGCGCGTGTTCGAGAGTAATGCAAGCGCGAAGCTCTGTGGTCATCTGGATGCAAGTAGATCCCGAATGGCCTCGGGTTGTTTTCCACTCATAGTTAAATAAAGCGGGGGATTACCCCCTTTCGCCGACACCGCGACGTATAGTGGAACAAACATCGGACGCACAACGGATTCCAATGTTTTCATTTACTATTTGGGTTATATTAGCTTATTGGATAGTGCGAGGTTTGGAACGTTTCGTTTTGCTTCGTTTTGTTTCGTTTTATGTATGGCCCTTTTTGTGTTTATTATCCATAGTAGCTAAAATGTGTATTTTAGCACGGATGTATATCCGTGGGGGCGAGGATAAAATTTAGATAACGTAATAAAAGCAAAAATTCCGCGAGACGCTGTATTTATTTATCCTGAACCGCTGTTGGAGATTTTAGCAAAATGGATACACCGCGCCGGCGTGATGATCAATTCAGGGTAACGGCTTCTCTGATGATATTTCTCCTAAGTGTGCAGCCGCGATATTTTCGCCCCACGAACCTTTGCATTAACTCAACGGTTTACCGATATCGCAATCTTAAAGTAACATTAGCGTCAAGTAGCCTTTGGAGGATCCATCTACCCAAAATCCTTCGGATATCCAAACTGCCTTTAATAGTTTCATCGAAATCTCAAGGTGTTTTCAATCTACCACTATCAAAAATGATCTATTATTAATTTAATTAAAATTGAAAATTATGGATAAATCGGTCTTTTCCTACATATCAAGTGCTTCCTGGCAAAGATTGAATATTTGCTGTTCTACGTATTCAGTGGTTGTGGTAGCAGAAAAAGCCGTTCATACCGTATACGTGTATATCTTGTTATAGGATAATAGAGTCTGGATGTCAGTCCCATCACGAGATTTATGTTACAGCGCCATCATTTCGCGGGGAAATTCTGAAACTTCCCAAAGTATCGAGGTCGGAGATAGGGGCGTACCTGTGCATAGCATCGAATGGAGTGCCTCCCTCTGTCAGCAAGCGGATTCTGCTCAACGTAAATTGTAAGTGCCACTCAAAGTTATATCGCAAATTGCGGGATCATAATCGAGCTTTTTAATTGACGTGGTTTCTTAAGACGTCGCTTCTTGTCCCTCTGTATAGTTTCGTTTCAACAAAAACGCAGTGTGAATCTATTGTGGTCCCCTCAACTTCCATCACGCGTTTCGGGGGTCCATTAATTAACTCGCTATTGTAATCAACCGCTACTGGGATGCTTGATTAAAGTTCGATTCTGATGACAGGCTTACGCGCTGACAAGTGATGACGCGTATCCTGCTTTTTTGCAGTTAACCCAGTGATTCAAGTACCCAATCAACTCGTCGGAGCCCCCCTCGGTACCGATGTTATGTTGGAATGCTACGTCGAGGCCTCTCCCAAAGCGATCACGTTTTGGATGAAGGATCAAGGTAAACAGCGAACGTCGGCGATAAATGACTACCCGAAATTCAATATCGTTATCTTTATTCGCCCTAACGGGTCGACGTATCGAATATGGTTAGGGCAAGAATTAGCGCGATTTCATTAATCACGAAACTTCTTGTGTATTATCTAAGGAAGCCACTCCTCGCGCCTTATCATTCCCCTTCAATTATCGATTGCTTTCAGACGAAATGATGGTTTCCAGTAGCAAGTATGACGTGGACCAAATAGCAACGTCATCCTTCGAGATCAAAATGATCGCGGTCGTCAAAAATTTTCAAAAAGAAGATGTCGGCACCTACAGATGTATGGCTAAAAATTCTCTCGGCGAAGTTGAAAGTAACATTCGCCTTTACGGTAATTGAGTACCTAAATTATAAATGATTCAAAAGATTATAAAAATTTCTCTTTAGATATTCCAGATCCAAATGGAAAAAGTTCGCCGTATGACGATCAAGATTACGTAGATCAAACAGGTTCTGCGGAAAATGAGCATGAAAGACGTCGTTCTCCTCGTATACACGAGCGAGGTCGAGCTGATAAAAACACTGGGACAGCTCGTCATGCTAATATTTATAAGGAAAATCGAGTACCAATTGAAATAATGGCGGTGTCGCGATCTGAAAGGAGCGCGATCAGTATTTTATTGATAATATTGTTAATGATCGTGTATGTTATCGAGATGGCTGTGGCTATATGAATGCGAATGATTCGGAAATCCATTTGTAGCGACAATAACGTACGTCATATGTGTACCCCTTGCGCTCCCTGACTTCACTGTAAATACCTTTTCCGTTATGTCGTGGCTTAACCAAAGGGTGCAGCGTTCCAGGCCGGCGAAGGATGGATGACCATAACATGTTTGTTGCCTTAAAAAGTATTAGACGGTTAACGAGAAATTTAGACTATTATAACGACATTGTTATTGTCGGTTACGGTTAGCAACATTATTTATTGTTACAGTTATTTTCGTCGTGGTGCGAGTTCTTCGCGTTAATAAGAGACAAAACTTTGGGGACGAACTGAATACGAAGGGAGAAGCGCTGCCGTGGTTAGATAAGGAAGGGTTGAAAGTTGATTGACAGTTAGGAAAAATTCAATTTTTGTTTGAAAGAATAATTTTGTCACAATTCAATTGAAGATTTAGAAATCCAAAAATGGAATATTATCCAGAGCAAATGGAGGGTGAACGCCGAGAATCGGAAAATAATAAAATTCGGCCCAATTAAAAATGGAAAGATGCTTTCTAATTGTGATTAAGGATAATAGCATATTCAATTCGGTCGGCTGGGTAGGTTCTGGGGGATTTTCCCTCCCTCGAGACAATCGATAAATTTTGCGCCACTTTACGTGCATATCGCGGAATTATATGAGAGAGCTCGGGCTCCATCTATTGTTATACCCGAGACAGTACCTTCTGTTTCAGAAATCACTTTCGCGTAGGCATTCACCTAATTCTTGTTCGTTCGAGCGCGATTCACAAACCCGCTTTTTTTCGCCGGTATTTTTATATAGTTTCGGTTTCGATTTAAACTTGCAATTCTCCCTAAGAAATATAATCTCATATAGACAGAAAACTTTTTAAATCTCTTTCCTTCTAGGGGGTATTTTTACTTCTCCAACTTTTCTCGACTTTTTTCGTTTGCGAAAATATTAAATTATCCCCACACTTACACTTTAAGAGAGAACTCAATTTTTCGATATTAAGAGGGAAAAATCGAACTCTAAAGCGTCCAAAATGCCGATTCGTTAATATCCACTAAAAACGTTCCCGACACAATTAAACGAACATTCATATAAATATCACATTTATTGTCAATGTTTTAATTAATATTTATGATATATTTATAACAGAGTGTCCTCATAACCCCTCTAATTATACTAATTGAACGTATAAAGATAGACTTTATATATATATATAGGTTTAAATGTTTGTGTGTTTGTTTAAGCTATACATCCATTAAAAATACATTTGATTGGGAACACAACAATAATATGTATTATGTTTCCTGAAATTGGAACTGTTTACGTACGATGATAGGGTAAACCATTTGGAATTGCGGCTGCGGCTTGTTACTCGCTGTCGTACGATAACCCAGGCGAATGCGATTGTGGGATTTTGATCCTTTAGAATGAAAGGAAGGTCTGGAAGGTCCAGAGTGATTTGTGGCCATACGGAAACTACCTTGATCATTTCGTTCGGTGTCAGGTGTTATCGTAAGCTGGAGAGTCGCCAGGGAAGACGCCGCCGGGCGTCGCGTCCTATTCAGCACAGATTTCGGGGTAAATGTAGCTGAGAAATTGGTAAAAAACGACCCATCTTTATAGATCACCCGGCCATTGTTCGCGCGCCTGCAGTCGCCGACCAGGTTTGCCGATTAACGATTAATGTATTGAGAGACACGGTCCATTGTTATGGCTTTTCTATGTCAATGAATGAGCCGCTATTAAATATGGCGAACTGAAAGGCAGGAATTGTCATCTTGATATACCGCGCATTATGCACGCCTCGGCGGTCCCACTTCATTGTCCATCCTAGCAATTATAGATTCCGCGATTTCCTTGCATCTTTATTCCAGCATCCTTCCACTTTCCATCCAACTTCTCTTATCCATCATTCACTTCGCTTTCTTTTTATATTTAAATAACACTTAGCCACTGAATTGGTTTAATCAATTTCATCACCTTCATTTTGCTCCTAAATACTTAAAATTAATTTAAAAATGTTATGCTCTCAAATATCTTATATTTCTATTGGTTTAATCAAAAATGGTCCCAATCGCCTTCCTAAATGCTTAGAATGAATTTAAAAATTTTCTGCTTACCATAATTTTCGAATTTGCATAGCTACATTTAAAAAAATTGATGATCTGGATGAGATAGGGTTATTATCTGCTATAAATTTACCTTTTATTATTATGGTGTTATTGCAATTTTATTAAATGTTGGAAAGATGGTGTAATTTAGTAGTAATATAAAATAGTATGAAATTTGGCTTAATTAATCTTGTATTAATAAGTTATAATCTTTTATTAGTAATATCTTGTATGCTGTCAGAAGTATCTAGTCTTCTACCACCAATAAAGTGGTGTTTAAAGTGGTGCCAGCAGTCTTTGTCTTATAAAAAGAAGCTTTGGTCTTCAATTCATAGTAGCCAGAAGTATCCCTCAAATCCTGTTAATCCCCTGAAAACAGTATCTAGCTTTTGTCAGCAATACCTAGTTTTTTGATAATACTATCTTAGGTCTGCAAGAACCTAAGAGTCTGCTACCAGTAGTGTTTAATATTTTATAAGAAAAGTCTAGTGTTCTATTGTTAGTGTCTTTTTCCGAGCACTGTTTAATTTTTTTCCAGTAAATTCTAGTCATTTAGTGGCAGTATCTAGTCTTTCGGCAGATATATGTAGTTTTCTGCTAGCTATATCTATGCAAATATATCATCTAAATTACCCATTTGCATTTTGATTAGATAAATAAGTAATTATGTAGATTATTTTACAAACCATACATTATAGGGATTCACAAATATCCCTTCAAATAATTAAAAATTTCGTTGATAATTCAAGATATCCTTCCACTTTCATCTAATCAACTTCTCTTATCCATCATTCACTTTGCTTTCTTTTTATATTTAAATAACACTTAGCCACTAAATTGGTTTAATCAATTTCATCACCTTCATTTTGCTCCTAAATACTTAAAATTAATTTAAAAATTTTATGCTCTCAAATATCTTATATTTCTATTGGTTTAATCAAAAATGGTCCCAATCACCTTCCTAAATACTTAGAATGAATTTAAAAATTTTCTGCTTACCATAATTTTCGAATTTGCATAGCTACATTTAAAAAAATTGATGATCTGGGTTATTATCTGCTATAAATTTACCTTTTATTATTATGGTATTATTGCAATTTTATTAAATGTTGGAAAGATGGTGTAATTTAGTAGTAATATAAAATAGTATGAAATTTGGCTTAATTAATCTTGTATTAATAAGCTATAATCTTTTATTAGTAATATCTTGAATGCTGTCAGAAGTATCTAGTCTTCCACCACCAATAAAGTGGTGTTTAAAGTGGTGCCAGCAGTCTTTGTCTTATAAAAAGAAGCTTTGGTCTTCAATTCATAGTAGCCAGAAGTATCCCTCAAATCCTGTTAATCCCCTGAAAACAGTATCTAGCTTTTGTCAGCAATACCTAGTTTTTTGATAATACTATCTTAGGTCTGCAAGAACCTAAGAGTCTGCTACCAGTAGTGTTTAATATTTTATAAGAAAAGTCTAGTGTTCTATTGTTAGTGTCTTTTTCCGAGCACTGTTTAATTTTTTTCCAGTAAATTCTAGTCATTTAGTGGCAGTATCTAGTCTTTCGGCAGATATATGTAGTTTTCTGCTAGCTATATCTATGCAAATATATCATCTAAATTACCCATTTGCATTTTGATTAGATAAATAAGTAATTATGTAGATTATTTTACAAACCATACATTATAGGGATTCACAAATATCCCTTCAAATAATTAAAAATTTCGTTGATAATTCAAGATATCCTTACTTTCATCTAATCAACTTCTCTTATCCATCATTCACTTTGCTTTCTTTTTATATTTAAATAACACTTAGCCACTGAATTGGTTTAATCAATTTCATCACCTTCATTTTGCTCCTAAATACTTAGAATTAATTTAAAAATTTTAATATTAATATTTCTATTGGTTTAATCAAAAATGGTCCCAATCACCTTCCTAAATGCTTAGAATGAATTTAAAAATTTTCTGCTTACCATAATTTTCGAATTTGCAAAAAAAATCTTATCTGGATGAGATAGGGTTATTATCTGCTATAAATTTACCTTTTATTATTATTATTTTTTAAAATTTTTATATATATCTTGTATAATCAAGTATATGAAGTTTATTATAGTACATTATGGTGTTATTGCAATTTTATTAAATGTTGGAAAGATGGTGTAATTTAGTAGTAATATAAAATAGTATGAAAAAGGGGTCGGAGATGGTGTAATGTGGTATCTGGGGGGTGTTGAGGTCGATTGCAGCTACTTAGACAAACCAGGGTAAATGGGTAGATACTCCCTAATGCGTGTAACGCGAAAATTTCCACAATTTGTAACTGGAAGGAAATGACTTCGTCTGCGGAGAAATATAGCGGGTCGAGTTTCTTTTTCGTCATCTGTCATTCGCGGGTTTAAACGACGAAAAACGACGACCGACGACCCGGTCGCAACTTAACGGCTCGAGGCCTTAACGACGGCGCATTTAAAATCGATTTATAAGCGGCGTTATTATTAATTAGGACTTGTAAAATCGGAGTCGTTGAGATGGGGTAAGCAGCCTCCTATCCTCCTATGAATGGTATCGTAAAAACGGTTGGACGCGTTGTTTTTGATTACAATTAGTTAGTTGCAACCGCGCGTCCCGGCGCGTTTCCAATTTAGAGGAGTAAACCCCTTCAGGGTTTTCAAACAGAGAAAAAAACCAATCTCCGGAAAATGTTCAAAGTTTCCCCGAGAAAATCACCTCACGTCTATTCCATCTGACACAATAGCGTGTGCGTGAACCTGTGTGCTGGGGGGCAAATTCCGCCATAACCTACTTACATAATTATCCTTTATTATTAAATTTACACCCCGCGAGGCCGTTCATCATGCGGTTTCATTCGTATTCCGGGACACGTATCAATTCTTCCACCTCTACGTTCGGTATCCTCATCCCTCCCACCGCCGCAATGTTCCGCGTGTTCCTCGTTCTGACTACATACGCAGAATAACCGAATCGAAAATAAGAATTATTTCGAAATTGTGACCGGAAACAATTCACCGTCATATAATATCAATATTATGGTCACATGGAAATAATATGTTATAACGACGTGTTAGGTAAAACATATTTTGTAGGAGGTGTGTGTTAATTACGTCTTACTTATCTCCCTAGAGGATGCTAATACCTCACTTACCTCCCGTCATCACAACATCCATCACTGTTTTGGTAAAAGCTACTTACATCCATACAAACAAGCTATTAATATTACGGTTATGATATGGGGGAAGAATAAATTACCATATTTGTTTTTCTCATTTTTTTAGTATTGTTATTTAAATTTGTCAGGTGCAAGTATAACGTTGATCTTGTTAGCGATATTTACAATAGCTCGTAGTTGTGCGAGCACACTGATCTCCGTTGAAATATGAAAAGTGTAGGGGATTTGGCGACAGTAGTCCGGATGTGTGGAAGGAGCAGTCGGTAATCTCGCAATGGAAGGGGCCGTTTGAGAATACAAACTCCAGAATTAGCCGAGGAAAAATGGCGACGCCGTATTGCAAATGAACAAGAACGGAAGCCGAAACGACCGGCGTCGGTCCTGCTTACGGATGCGGGTCTCGTGCCCCCCGTCGGGCCCCGATCCCGAAAATATACATACGCGCAGCCCTCTGGAGGCGGTAAACACAATTAACGTTTGCTTTCGACATTGTAATAAATCCGATTTGCACTTTAAACATCACAAAAAAAACTTAAACATATGTATATACATTAAAACGAAATTAAGTGTAACGACAATATTAAATAATAATTAAAATGTACAAAGCTAGGATGGTCGAAACCGGACAAAGTACCCCTATTTAACATTAACTCTTCATCTAGGAAACAATTTCATTTCGGCGAAATATTGCGACCGCAACACCTTACCTTTTCGTGCTGGCGAATTTTCGAAGAATCAAACTCCAATTAAAACTTAATACCCCTCATTTGGAAGCGTAAAATTGGTCGCAAAGCTAATGACGAGGTCGACAAAATTGAGTTCATCGTCAAAAATGAACCGAAAGGTTTACTTTGATGGAGATTATTATTGATATAAAATTTATCTTTTTAATTTAATTTAAAACTTTAATAAATAAATTTAATTTATTAATTACAAATACACCGAGATATAGAAGTAAGAAAGTAAGTTTTAAAGTTTTGGTGTAATTGTTGGCCGTAAATATGTGAAACACACGCTCACCGGGTGCAAAATGCTTCCGATCTCTCTCCGGTAATCGGATTTGAAGAAAACTCCGGGAGATAAGAACGGCCTTAGCCGACGAAAGGAGTGTTGAATTGCAACATCAACACCGGTTAGATAAGCTAGGAGCTTGTTGTCCGGTTGTATCAGAATCGACGCGGCCGTAAAAGTTACTTATCTTTTTTTTTTGGGGTACCGAAAACAATTTGACTTATCATTATGTGATTCCAAAATCCTTTCGAATCCTATTGATTTAAAATATTAATTCGTTACTTTAGGGGATAATAAATTTTCGTAGGTTTTACTGCTACTGCGGAAACAACCCTCCCTATAAATACCTTAATCCAGCATGAAAGATGCCGCGGCATTTTTACATTATTACCGTCGAAGGGCTCGTATATCACGTTTAAATTGTATATGTATGTATAAAAATGGACGAGTTATTTTTCAAAATTTAATGATGTTATTTCAATTTACATAACTTACAGTTTATAGGCCAGATTTAGCCAATACAGGGTGTTTATTTTTAATGCTTTCATAAGAAGGGCCTCGAATAACGTATTTCTGTGTCCCCAATTGATGTGCAAAATATTGTAGATGTTTCATTATATTTAAATAAAACTGGGCCATTCATCATCAAATAATTTATCATAACATAATTAAGTATAAAAATATACACCTGTGTAATTACTATGTATTTGTAAATAAATTACGATTGTAGAGTGTAAAGTAAAAGCGGAAGTGGCGAAATCAAAATTAGCTAAGAGCGAAAAGGTTAGCTTTAGGGAAAAAATTAAAAAAATCCTTTGCTGTGTTATTTATCTTTATGTTTTGTTAATTAAATGTACTGAATAAAAATAATACTGTGCCTCTTTGTGTTTTATTAAATAATTAAAACACACTTCAATTACTTTTTAATTTATAAATTAAAGGTATGTGAATTTTTTTAATAACCTTTTTTAATAAATTTTAATTCATTGTTATTAGAGAATTAAATACCCATATTAGTTAAAATTTAAATTTTTCTTTTTGCTTTTAATAAAGAACGATAATTAACTAATAATTTATTTGGTTAAATTATAATTCCACGTAGAATGTAATTTATTTCGCCCTTAAAGTCTTTGTTATGCTGAGCTTAATGTTATGGTAATAAATATTATGGAGCAGAGGAGAATATCTTGAATTATCAACGAAATTTTTAATTATTTGAAGGGATATTTGTGAATCCCTATAATGTATGGTTTGTAAAATAATCTACATAATTACTTATTTATCTAATCAAAATGCAAATGGGTAATTAGATGATATATTTGCATAGATATAGATGGCAGAAAACTGCCAAAAGACTAGATACTGCCACTAAATGACTAGAATTTACTTAAAAAAAAATTAAACAGTGCTCGGAAAAACACTAACAATAGAACACTAGATTTTTCTGATAAAATACTAAACACTACTGGTAGAAGACTCTTAGGTTCTTGCAGACCTAAGATAGTATTATCAAAAAACTAGGTATTGCTGACAAAAGCTAGATACTGTTTTCAGGGGATTAACCCTAGAAGGTATACCGAGGTTACGTGTGACCCCAACAGAATTGAAAATTTTCGCTTATATTCTTATTTCGCGCTTGGTGGCGCTGATAGTTTAGGTAAGGTTAGTAGACGTTGCCGATTATCGTTTTCTCAATAATAATTATTTGGGGTTGTGAGTGACTCCAGGATACATTTGCGTATTGTAAAATAATACTATTTGTAATTTCGTGTGATAGAATATTTGTGAAACATGTCTAAAAAACCGTTAGTGCTCTAGATCCGGACTTTGAAAAAACTGTCCTACAATGGTACAATGAATCAGAAAGCGATGTTGATGACAATTTTGCAGAAAGTGACAGTGAGGACAAGGTGGAAGAGTTGTCGGAACACAACGATGACACTTCTTCTGAAGATGATGAGTTTGAAGAACGTCCACTTCAACGTGATGGAATTTTGAAGGGCAAAAATGGTTTTGCATGGAGTTCACGAGAACCTGCAAAAACCAGAACGCCTTCAAGAAACATCGTGGTAAAGGTACCTGGAATAAAGAATGCACGTGTAATTATCACAGAAATAGATGCTTGGGCCATTTTATTCACACCTACAATTTTAATTGAAATTATAACTCATACAAATGAAGAAATAGAAAGACAAGGTGTCAAATACCAGCCAGGTACGAAATACGTACATCCTACAGATAATGTAGAAATCAACGCCCTATTAGGTCTTTTGTACATAGCTGGTGCTGGAAAAGATGCACATCTATCTGTACAACAAATGTTTTCTTCACAAGGACCTCAAATATATAGATGCATTATGCCTGAAATACGTTTCAAATTCTTATTGAATTGTCTAAGATTTGACGATAAAGAAAAAAGAAATCGTGAAGACAAATTTTCACCAATAAGGCAAATATGGGAGGATTTTATAGAAAATTGTACAGAGTTACTCTCCTCACTGCTACGTAACTATAGATGAGCAGCTACTTGGTTTTAGGGGCAAATGCCCGTTTCGTGTATATATAGGATCTAAACCTGACAAATACGGAATTAAGGTTGTATGTATGTGTGATTCGCGTACATATTACATGATAAGTGCTATTCCATACATTGGAAAAAACACCAATCCAACCAACGAATCTGTTCCAATGTATTTAGTGAAGGAGTTATCCAAATCTATTCATGGAACAAATAGAAACATTACAATGGATAACTGGTTTACGTCTGTTCCATTAGCCAAAGAAATGCTTAGCAACAAAGGTTTAACAATCGTGGGAACAATAAGACATAATAAAAGAGAAATACCACCTTCTTTTTTACCTTCTAAGAATAAACCCGTACTAACTTCCGAATTTGCTTTCTCAGACAAATTGACGTTGGTTTCGTTTACACCAAAAAGAAATAAATCTGTCATACTAATCTCTGACAAGAATGTTAACGAGGTTTTGAAGAAACCAGAAATTATTGAGTTTTACAACTCCACCAAAGGTGGAGTAGATACATTCGATCAGATGGCTCACAACTACACCGTATCCAGGAAAACAAGAAGGTGGCCACTTAGATATTTCTATGGGATGCTTGATCATAAATGCCGCGATAAATGCCTTTGTGTTATATAATGTGTCGCGTAACGCTAGCAAAGTTACCCGAAACAAATTTTTGCAATCACTTGGACTGCAACTAGCTAAACCTTGGATGGAATAAACTGCAAAGTGAAATACGAGAAGTACTGGGACTAACACATATTTCAGAAGAGGAACAGCTTGGTCCAGCGCCAAAAAAACTCAAATACATATACTCAACTCTGTATATGTCCTCGTTCACGTGATCGAAAATGCAGAGTTGTATGTTATATGTGTTCCAACAATGTATGTAACGAACACCGTACTGATATTTGTCTAAACTGTAAGAGAAATACTTAAAGTTGCTATTGGCTTCACTAAATAAACGTTTTCAAAAAATTTTATTTTATTTTTCCTAAATTAATTTCTGAGGTAACCCCAAGTATACGTTTTCAAGTGTGTTATTTTGGTATACCTTCTAGGGTTAACAGGATTTGAGGGATACTTCTGGCTACTATGAATTGAAGACCAAAGCTTCTTTTTATAAGACAAAGACTGCTGGCACCACTTTAAACACCACTTTATTGGTGGTGGAAGACTAGATACTTCTGACAGCATTCAAGATATTACTAATAAAAGATTATAGCTTATTAATACAAGATTAATTAAGCCAAATATATCATATTTACACCAATATATACATAAAATTAGAGTATATAAACAAACATTTCCTGAAATATATAATTTTGAGTTCGAATTTTAATACGATTATATTAAGTTCTATAGTTCTAAAGTTGTGGACTCTCAAAATATCAACCTGAATATAAATCGAATGTTATAGAAAATATTTTTCTAGCTCGTTATTTTTTAAATAGCATATTTTATTTCATCATTGGTATCATTTAGATTTTCAGTGTCATCATATCAAATTACATTTAATATTAATTAAATAAATAATTATAATAATATTATCTATATAATATTTTCATTAAAGGATCCATTAGTGGCTGTGTAATCTGCTATGATCGGATATTAACTAATATTGATTGGTTATCTTATATAAAAATAATAAACGTCGAGAGGTTAAAGGTCTGTATACCATATTTATGTGTGTCGGCCTACTATTATTCAACCTAAATCGGCAATGGAAACATCCGTTTTCATCCCTTCATGGCTTCATCCATTACATGATACTATATCACTCCTGCTTGGTTATCAATGGCACTTGAAACAATGTCCCCATATCAGATAGGTCGTCGACAAAACGTAGATAATATAGTGCTGGACGGATCAAGTTAAAAGCAGATAAGTGGACATCTTATTATTGACCTAAATATCAAAATGTAATTACTGAAGCGCAAATGATAATATTGTGTTATCTACGTAGTCATGAAATATAACAATAATAAAAGGGAAATTTAAATGAAAAAATGTTTTTGGTGGTGTAAGAACAACAGCATTACCGTTACATTAAACCCCATAAAGTTGTAGGGCCGCAAAAAATACCCCGCATAACACTAACTTCGTTCGCCCTAATTCACTTTTACTTTCCCTAAAATTATTAATGACCCGTCAATTCGGTAAGGGAAAACATTATTTCCACATTACTTCCAACTTGATTTATACTCCACCGAGCTTTTTATCGCCCATTGAAATTGCTGACATAACAAAAGGAAGTCGGTTCTTAATTTACAATGAGGTAATTAAAATGCGCCTCCCAAAAAATTCAAACTTAGTATAAGAACGACCTCTACCAACTTTCCCATCTTACTCGATTATATAGTTTCCTTCGTTGGTTTGTAACTTTGCTAAGAAACTGAAACCTTCCAGTGGTGTTTTCAAGGAAATGAAACCTGGGTGTAGATGTCGGTAGTGAGCACTTTTGAAGATTTAAGTCGATAGATGGCGATATATGCCCGGAAATGTTTTATTTTATAAATAAGAAATTAATTTATTATGTATTTAAAAAAAATATCTAATTTTTATTTAATCATTTTTGAACTTCAATAAATTTATAAAAAATTCATTATCACTTTAATTTTACAGAAAACTCTTTAATTTAAATTTCTGATAGATAACTTTAATCAAATAAAGAATACTGTTTATTGGTGTTCAAATTAAAATAAAACAAATATACCTTTAATATAGATCTTTATTTGAAACATTCAATTTCACACTTAAGTATACAGTATGTTTTTTTATTCATTTACGTGAATAGACATATCGAATAGTTTTTCTTCCAGGAAAAGTAAACATTTAAATAGGTGTAATGTAGAGCGATTTTCTTATAATATAATATTTACATCAAATTCATACCATCGAAGATAAGTTAGTGATATATTTTTATCTATTAAAAGTCTTTTTATACACAGTAGGTACAATTTGTTTAGAAATTTCTTTTTGGGTTAGCAACACTTATTGTACATTTAAATTACTTAAGTTACTTAGTTAATTAATTAAGTTTCTTATGTTTACATGTTTTTATCTTATTTAACATATATTTTTTGTCCATAAAACGATATGTGGTAACTTTTATCTTTGGAGTTTAGTTTATTTTAAAAGAGAAGCGTTAAATGCAGAAGATTTAAACGGTGACTTCCTCGGTGAAATGGCTTTTGTCGTCTAAGTTTATGACGATAGCGTGCGTTCGTGCGTGTCCAGACTTGAGCAATCTTCCGTTACGATTACTGGAGGGACTTTCGGTTTTTTCTTCTCTGCTACTGAGTTCGATAGAGGCATCAGGGTTAGAACAGGTTTCTCCGATGAACTCTTCAATACAAGTACCGGAGTCTCTGGTTGCCACAGCTTCGCTACTGCAAGGGTCGGTTTCGGTTTGCGCAAAGGAAACGCTTTGCCTTTTCAGTTTTTCTGTTTTCTCTTTAACAGGTTGATCTTCTTCCTCGCCGTCCTCTTCCACTAACGTCTCATTATTCGGCGTGAACTTTTCGTTGATGGTGGTCATAGAGTTTGGTTTGCAGTTCTTTTTAACTTGCACGTCAGCCGCCTCGTTATCGTGCTTACTTGCCGCATCCTGCATCGCTGAAATTTTGGACGCCAGATGTCTATTGCCCACTCGCATGTTCTTCTCTTTGAGTAACTCCAGCTGAGTGTACAGCCTCAAAAATTCCTCGTGGACGTCTTGCTCTGTAAATTTGGAATAGTCTAAACCTCCGAGCGACGAGTTGGTGCTTGTGTATTGTGTTGAATTACCGGAACGTGTTTTTCCAAGAAATTTGCTTGCCTGGGACTTTGACATCATACCAGAACTCTCCTCGCTGCGATCGTGTCCTTTAAATACCATGTATGCCTATAAAATAATAAACGATTTAATTGTTTGAACGCGAGGATAAACATCATGGGGATCTCAATGTTGAATCATAGTACATTAATTAATAAACTATCTCTTTACCTCAATATTGTCGCTATTATTACAACAGAAATTATCTTTACCTCTTGTTATTATAAGAGATGGATTTTGACGAAGCGAGAGAGAGATACCCACATCGTTCATCCTCGTCTTGAACACTACGTGTAAGTGCAATAGAAACGCACAATTGGGACGAATTTAATGAAATCCAATTACCGCGACGAAATTAAAACGTTGAGAGACCCAAAAAAAGGTCTTACCTTGCTGCCGAAAATCAATGCCAGCAACAACGTGACGGTGAGCTGGGTGTGACAAAAGAATATGATATAGAGCAGGTCCGGGTTGGCCGGCTTTTGCAAAAATAACCTGAAAAAAGAGGCACATAAACAGGTCAAAATCGAATTTATAACCATACACATTGGACCGATATTGTAAATCATTGCCGGAATTGCTTTTTTCCGCGACACCGGAAAATTACAAGAACAGATTTGTTAAACGGTTCCGGTACTGGATACATAAAAGATCTTTTATTCTGAAAAGACACCCTTTTTTTAGTTTAATTTTTTTTTAATACTAATAGATTTTAATAGATGGCGTTATATATATGTTTTTAGATGCTATCAGATAGATTATCATTTGTTGTATTGTCTTAATATCTGTCTCAGATCAAAAATCAAATTGATCTTGTCAGCAGCTGACGAAGGCAGTCGAGTTCAGGTTCAGGTTTCCGCAACCCAATTCTGCTTAAACAAGCAAATAGCTTTTCAATGTTTCAAATGTTTCGTTGCAGAGTCCTTTGTATCGCAGCTATAAAGCGTAATCCAAAATGTTTGTATTTGATTTGTATGTTTTTATATGTCATGGAGAAAAAAAAGTGTTGAATAATATCATTCTTATAGGAAGTTAGTGTCTTTCCAGTATAAAAGATCTCTACTTACATTGAGATATTAAGAAAGACAGAGAGTAGAAATTCGTTGTAAATGGCCATAGATATGAAGCGGCTTTCGTTAAATTCGGAGGGTGCCTTGCGAACAACAATGCACAAGCGTATTCCCCATACTAGAAATATGACTTCCACTGAAACCAGGATCAATTACAATTTGTGGCGTAAATACGATGGCTTACTCACAAATCGAAAACGAATGGTCCCACCAATCGGTTTTGCACAAGTAGGCTTTGAGATCGTCGGCTGTCCTCCCTACGATAACGTAAGGCGGCGCTACCAGCGTCCGTATAACTAAGAATACAGTGAATATAGCCACTATTATCCCTAGCCGCTTCAGCAGATTCATGTCCGTGATTTTAACGGCTTTCGCTGAACGTACTCTGAAGATCACCGATATCCTAGAATTTAAAAGCGTTCAACGGGGACATTAATCTCCTGACCTCGATTACTACCTCCATGTCTTTAGCATTAGAGCTCCGTAGGTGAAGGAAAATCCTATCTCCCTTAACCAAACCCTCGCGGTGCACGTGTAGACGTTCGGTCTCGGGTACATGACGATCGTCTGCAAAAACCAGCCATTAATTTTTGCTTTTCGCCGTGAACACCGGACCCAAATGGATAACAAGGTCGGGTCGGCCAACGAACGCCTGAATAATGTATGTATGCTCCTCCTCGCGAGATGACAGCACTTGATGATCCCTTAGAGGAAGGGTAAACCACGGCCGGACGTCCACGTCCATGTAGAGGGGCATTTAACGTGGCCTGGATGGCTTAATATATCGCCCTCCGTGGCATCTACTTACGAAAGCTTCCGAAAGCTTCTAGTCGAAACTGTTTTATGGTGCCGCCATCTTGTACGTGACGTAAAAAATAACATAAAAAGTAACTTTGTATCAAGTATTCGTTGGATAACGTCACTTGGTTAAATAATTAATGAAGATGAAGGAATGAAATGTTAATTATAAAATAAGCAAGGTGATAAAGGGTAAGTTGATGGTTTCATAAACGGTAAAGCGTGCGTTTCAAGCGTATAATCGTAGATAATTGTCTAAGGATCCTTACCGTTAGGTAGATGAAAAACGCGCCAAGGATAATAACGCGTAACAAGACAGGACTCGCAGCACGTACCACCTGTAATAAAGATAATATTATTACCGAAGGCGCCGGAGGGCGTCGTCGTCGTCGCCCTCGAGGTAACGGAGATATTTAGCAACGACAAGGAATCCGGCGTCTATTTGGATTCCATGGTTAATTGAAGGACGGTGTTGACACGTTTGGTAATTGTATAAATATTTTGAGCATTCGTACGTGTACACTTGAGTAATGATACTCTAAGGGTAAGACTAGTTTTCGTTGTTATGCGGCGCCACATAAATCAACATGTCAGGGCCAAACTGAATAAGGAGCGTCGGAATTTTATTAAATCAATTTTGGGTAATTTAATTGAAAAGTTGGACCGGTAATTATTTTGGAGCAGCGAAAACCTGGTCCGGAGAATGGCGAGGATTGATAAAACAAACTTTCGCTAGAAGAAGAAGAGAATAAGGGCAAAAGTTTTGTGATAAACAAGTCAAACGTATTTCGGAGTATTAATTATTTGGATTAATGTAAATTCGCGTCTATAAAACGTTTGCGCGCGGCGACCCCAGGGACAACTAGGCTCTAATTGTCCTCGGATCGTGAAATCAAATTTAATTAGAGCTCTGAATTCGACGTTAATCTGAAAATAATTGCTGTAGAAGGGGATATCGGAAAAGAATTGAGAGCGGCTCGTCGGCAAGAGGCGAAATATTCATATTTTATAAGCTGGTCCGGATGACTTAAAAAAGGGTATTTGAGATATTTGAATTTTAAGTACCTCTAAGGATTATAATTCGTATAATTCGAATTAATAAATTTTTATAGCGAAAAGCTTTGCTAGTTTGTTTCCAACAGCGAAAAGGTAAAGTTACAGAGCGAGCGGTGTTGAGTATACCTCAGTGCAATAGGAATGAATAATGTATGTAACATGGAAGCGCTGGATTAAAAATTAAACGATTCAAACCACTGTCTCACTCCACGCCAGCTTTAAGTGTATAGACTTTCCGGCGAATTTCAATTGTAAAGTTCGCGAGTATAAACACCAGCCTTGTCAACTTTTTAAAACATTTAAAATTTATATTAGAAAATAACTTGGCCACTCCCAAACTTAAATTAAAAAATTCCTATCAACATTTCCCTTAAGAACTTTTAAATTGCCCTTGGAAATTTCTGTTTTTACGTGTTCCGGCAACCTAATTAAATCTTCAAACGGGCTAATCGCTTTTAAATCTTTGCAACTAATTTTGAGAGGTAAGGCGGTACCCAACTACCCTTCCGCGGGAAGCATCTGCTACAATAAGGACGGAATAAAATATTTACCACTCTCTCCTCGACAATTACGCCTAAAATTTTAATAAGCCCCTAAAACCGCCAAACTACAATCCGTCTCTTACGTTTCCTTATAATATTAATTCACTTCATCTCCTCTCTTCTTCCTTCGATTGCTTACCTTCACGTTTCCGTATTTCCACGTGAACGCAACGACGAATGGTAGGCAGCAAATTACCACCCCAGATAGAACTAAAATCACCGTCCGCATAACCCAGTTCAGTGAGACGACACACGGCCTGTCATCTTCGCATTGTTCACAACCTTCCGGACAGGGCAAGCACTCAAACATGCTGTACACCGTATATTGGCTTTTTACACCTTGCAAGAACGCCTGCGGACAAAGCATAAATATTAAAAGACGATCGAGCGCCGATGCTGAAAATTGGTATCTTCTTGACAGTGCGAAACCCTTCAAACATTTTCCACAAAGATACATGCAACTACAACGAAAAATAAACAAAACCGACACCGGGTTCAGTAGATTACGTGGACCGAGTTTAACTATGTTTAGACAACGATACACAACCATCCCGGTTGTGTAAATTAGATAAATATGAAAGATGCAAACGACTTGTTAGCTCAGCAATGCGACGAATATTTCAAATTTTTATTTCAACATTGATATCGATAAATTTTAATTCACAAATAATTTAATAAAAGTTTATTTAAATTTTGTCGCAACACATTTTAATAGGATTACATAGGATATGTGGAAAGCTATGATGAGATAAAATGAATATGGAATGAATAGAGGAAGTGTTAACGGTTGCCCTAAAGTAGAGCTTAAAGGGACGTTTTATCCGGCGTGAATTTTCTAACAGTATAATCCGCGTGAACCTTAAAACCCCGGAATTGAGCAGGAACCATAACAAACTTTGCACAGCGCCCAGGAAGCAAATGATGGTAATCTTGAAGGATTAATTTCGCGAGATCCAGTAAAGTTTAGCTAATTAAATTTCAAAAATCGCCGGGTGAGTCAAAACACGTCGCGGGGGACGAATGAGGGTTCTCGGGGGATTACCTTCTCGTACTCCTCCTCGATGATGCTGCCATTGTAGTAACGTTTCTCGGCTGTTGTGTCCGGAAAGTAGAAACCCTTCTTGCACACACATTTGTAGCTACCCCGGCGAAATCCGAGTCCGGACAGAGGAATACACTGGAAATAAAAAAAATTTGGGACCACTCCGACGAGTTAATTAAGGGTAGCTTACTTCTGTTGTTCTTTTCTTGCATTTGTCTGTCGCTGCGAATATATTGAGCTGAGTACTACCCTTGGGTAAAGGACACTGGTCGATGTCTACTCTTCGCAGATCGATATCTATTCCACTTGTGCCCCTGAAAATAAGATAAGTAAAAGACAAAAATGCATTAAACATTTACGAACTATTTCCATTTTATAGTAGAGGTAGATATAAAGATATTGACATATAAGAACACTAAAACATCACGATGTCTAAAATACAAACAGACGTCTTGAACGTTGACGAGTTTGCGAAAGTCGGCCGTCTCCGCAATATCCTTGCTCCTAGGATTAGCGGCACAATTTCGCGTCCAGTTAGAGTTATCCTTATGGAAGGACAATCATATAAACCCGAGGATATATGGATCCCGAGACCGGCCAGACTTCAAATAAAATGAAATTTTAAGGCCTCGAGGATTTTTCGAAACTGCAATATCGCCCCAGCTGACCCGATCGTTTCTTATCGCTCCAACGATTCACTAACTCTTCGTGTAATGACAACTTCTTATCTACCAAGTACTAATATTCTCGTACAATAATTTCCTTGAAAATTGATATTTTCCTTCGTTACAATAAAGAAGAAAACTTTGTTAGTTTATTTTGATTGTTAACGCAATCATGAAGTCAACACCTTGTTTGGACGAAAGGGAACTGTTGTGCATTCGCAAATACGGGACCGAACCCAAATAATCCCTTGTTGGGTAGAGACCTTCCGCAATAGGAAAAGTAATTGGATAACCACTTTAGGATTGTTCGCGCAGTTGTAGAGAAAGTTTTTTCTTGTTGCAATTTCCGAGATTAGCAAAATGATTTAGACAGCGAGAGACGCGTAAACCCCGAGGTGGATCTAATCCATTTACACGATTTTAAAGAAACCCGCGGCGTAAAATACGACGTAATGGTCGTAGTGGACTCTAATGCGACCCGACGATGAAACTTTGATTAAAAGATAAGCGAAACGCGGAAAAGGACCGACGAAATAATAAACTGCCCGTCCGAGAGTGTAAGTGGTAAATCTAATAAGTCCAAAACGAAATTACACGGGGCATGACGTAAAATAAAAACATGACTCGTTTGTAGACCGGAAAAAACCTCGTTGGTAAGGGAAGCACGTAGAAAGGGGTGATATAGTACATAGAAAAGGAGGAAGCGTGGTATAATTTAAAGCCTACGTCTGACTTCTGAATTTATTGTCACCTAGCTTTGGCAAAATTACATTATTGACCCGGTAACCCTATGGAAAAACTAGAAGTGCACGTTCCAAGAAAACATAGGAAATAAAAACTTCCCAAGGGACTGGAAATAAACTATTCACGCTCGACTTATATTATCTCTTAACGTAACGTCAATTTATATATATAAATAATTAAATATAAATATTATATATATTTATTATTATATGTACAACATTTTAAAATTAACGTGTGTTAATTAACCACCAATTTCTAAACATCCTGTATATATATAATATTAATATTATTACGCATATACAGGATGTTCGATTTAAGCGTAATGGAGAGTACGTAATTTTTTTTAAATGGAACACCCCGTATATTTTACCATATTATGAATACAACTAAACTTGAAAAAATGTAAAAATGTACCCATTGAACAAACAACGATGTAAAAACGAAATTTTTTCCGATTTTGCCTTGAAACTATGTAAGATAATAGTCAATGCCATATACTATACAGCGTGTTTATAAAGCTTAGTTACTTTTATATGTCTAACTTTAATAGTTTTCCTGATACAAAGAAAAATATTTTTATAATTAAATTATCATAATCAAAGCAGGTTCACAAATCGATAAAAAATAAGATATTGAGGCAACGTCAACTTCGTCCAGTTATGGTTGATTTAATATAACGACACCAACAGAATTATGTAACCGCATCGATATTGATTCGACCGCGTGCAACCGACACATTTTCAATGCGAAAGAAAGCTGTCGATTTGATACAAAACGCGGCGGCTATGGTGTTAACGATTTAATCAAATTACGCCCTTTTACCAAGGAAATTATTGCTACGTACATTATCGCACCAGATTAATCCAATATTCATACAGCAGTAATTATTCGAATCTCACTTCGCCAGAACTACAACACAATTATCACGATAACCACGCTCGTTATCCTTCTCAGTATTTAGATATGTATGCGTTAACAGCGGATGGAGTTTGTGCAATTTGTTGTAGTCGACTCATTTTAATTAATACTTTAATGAAATTTCAAGGTAATTACTTCCGCGGATTGTTTCCCCAAAAGAGCTATAAATTGAAATAAAATGTATTTAAACTTCATTGCTGCTTTATATTATACCAGATTACTAACTAAAATATTTCGGAATAATGAAATGGATTTTCATTTCTTATTTTAATTTAATTGTTTTATAGAATATAATATGCAAAGTTAACAATTTGTCACATGTGTCGGTGGTTGAAATTTCGTAGAATGTATGTCGCGAAGATTAATTAGTGCCAGTTAGCAGAGAACAAAATTTAAAGTTGGGACCGGCACAATATCTCTTCCGCCATAATAGCAGCGAACTAGTTCGATAACGGTCGCGGTGATTTATCGGGCACATCTATTCCTGCGAATACCGGTCATTATAGAGCGCTGAAAAAAACGGTCATCTCATAAATTGAAATATACACGAATTGCCGTAAAGCTTTGAGCCGGCCTTTAACTAATCAATTATCCTCGTTGTTTGCTTTAAAGGAGCTCTTCGCCAGGGTCGCAAAACTGCCCTAATGACGTAATTTGCATGTTGTACAACAAAAACAAACTCTGAATATTGCAGCTCGGGTACGCAAATTCGATTTAATCCGTTATTTGACGGACGACAGGTGCTCAATTACGTTATTTATTACTTTCATGGTAACAATGTCAAAATCTATAGCACCGCACCCGTAATCCAGTTAACGTTGTCTTCCGATTCTCCATCGGTTCGATATCTCTCATTATTCTACTACGTCCTCTCGTCCTCTTCGTTCTTTAAAACAACCGCATTACACGTAATCTGTATTTCGGCGGTGTGCCATCCATTCGAGGAAACCGCGATGTTTTATACATACACCGTCCAAACAATGGAATTTACAAATACATTAGGCGAGAGCACGGAATTTCGGTATGAGCTCTGTGAGTTGATTCGGAAATTGACTGTGTCCTCCTCTCTCTCTCCAATTTTTTTTAATCTACCCCGTCGAACTCAAATTAACGACCTCAACCACAGGGTTTCGGCAAAAACAACCCTAATTGCGCGGTGTGCTTAAAAACAATTGCCACTGAAAATCATACGGCTTTGTGGTTTTTCACCAAAGCACAATAGGATACCAACATCACCGACAACGACAAAAAAAAATTGACCGAAATTAAATAGCTTTAATCCCAATTGAACTCAACACGGTGCAAACATAACGATTTCAATCAAAGAAGTAAAAGGTCAATAACTTTCTTTAATTTCCGGTTAACAATATAAAGAGTGTACACCGAGATACACTCTATCCACGGGTATCGAAGAGTGAGAATTAAAAAGTTAAAAGGATTGGCACCAACGGCCGTAATTAATAAAATTGCCACATTTTGCGCTCGTGCGGAAAGCTACTTGAAGGAGGGAATCGATATGTGAAGTGCCTCCATTGTTCGCGCACTAATACAGCTTAGTTACTACTTCTGGCTCCATCCTTTTTTCCCCGGTTACATTCACCTTTCAGAGAGCTCGGCAAATAGGCGAGAAGTAGGACGAGAAACGGGGCGAGGAACTTGTAAATTACGCTCACTACAAAGTCTATTCGACGAGGATTTCAAAGTATTACTTATGTCCTCCGTAAAAACCGCCGAAGTGACGTTACTGTATCGTCGGCGCATGATGCTTTATTATTGCATTAAAACCCACAGCTTCCGACCCTTTTACGGCACCCATAAACGTAGACTTAAATCAATCTAGTCTGAAAATTTTTCAGGTGCATACTTTGTAATCTTCTCTGATTCTAAAGTAAAAATAATATCGTACCTCTTTAAAATCTTTTTTCTTGTATATAAATAATATATTACAAAACACACAACGTGGGAATGAAAATGTTTTTCCCTTCATACCTTTATAATAGAATTACGTCCAGAGAGGATGTGCACAACAGGTTTCATGCGTCAGGTTTCATATCTTTCTACCAAGGGGAACTTTCTTTCTGATATATCGCATTAGGGTTTCAAACATTTACACCTTTTTCAATTTTTTTGTTCTACCATAATGCGAAAGAAACAGTTTCGGTTTTCACAAAAATGTTAATAATAAATCGATTTGATTCACTTTAAAAATTTATATCTTAAAACGTTTTTTAAATTGGACTTCACCATTAAAAAGTACATATATTAATTGATAATTGGTAAAAATTTCATAAAGATTTATGAAGAAATCGAAATTTTTTTAACGATATATACAGGGTGTTTCTAAACTTTGTTTGATCAGAACTTTTTTATTCTATCAAAACCCTACATTTATTTTTGCAGTTTCTAATAGTAAATTTAGTTTAGAAACTTTTATTACTCTTAGATATTATTGATAAAAATCACCGTTTTTGTGTTAAATGCAAAAAAGAAATCTAAGTCTTGCAAAAAAGTCTTGTAATTTTATGCCCCTTTTTTATTATTCTTGTTAGTGTTGTCGCTTTTTTGTTTATTTTTTGTTGATTGTTAATTTATTGTTTTTGCATTCTTTTATTAAACCAACTAAAACAAATTAAAAATGTGATTTAGCTAAATCTACACTTGGACATGTTGCATACATATTAGTTATGACAGCTCAGTTCGATTTTCACTTGTCATTGCCAATTCAGATTATTTATTTATTTTTTTTTTTTAGTGTTATTGAATTCGGAGCCTAACATTTTTGCATTTAATACGAAAACGGTGGTTTTTATCAATATTCTCTAAGAGTGATAAAAGTTTCTAAACTAAATTTACTATTAGAAACTGCAAAAATAAATGTAGGGTTATGATAGAATAAAAAAGTTCTGAGCAAACAAAGTTTAGGAACAGCCTGTATAGCATTGTTCCCGCGTACCGATCCAACTCAAAAATTGCCTAATGATTTTACG